TCCATGCGGGCAGCACGCCAGCGCCGGGGGGAGGCCGCCAGGAATTAGCCAACGCGCCCCAACTCATCTCATTCTGGCCCCAGCAAAAAAGCAGGCTTGCAGCTTCCACCGGGCATTCGCAGCCTGACCTCCTTCGCCAGCGCCGTCCTCAGGGTGCAGGCGGCTGTGGGATCTTGGATGTCTAACAGAGGTTGTGCCCTCTGCCCCGGGGTGTTTTCCTCCACTGCCTCCTTTCACAAAGTTTATAGGGATTTTATCTCTTGAAACAAGCTCTGCTGCTATTAAATGGTATTAAATTTGGCCAGGGAGTCCAAAAGCTGGTGGGGGACTTGATGTGGGGGCAGAAAGACAGCCGGCAGCCAGCTCGGTGCTGGTTTGTGGAGAATCCCACCAGCATAGCCTGAAATCAAAAGTACTAAAGCAACATATCCTGCCCAAGGCAGGCAGAAAAGGTAAAGGGCTCTCAGGAGGAAGGCATTCACAGGACCTTGGGAGTATTTTAACATGTACCTTAAAGTACCAAGTGCCCCAAAGCTGCTGTAGGTGCAGTAACAAGTCCTTGGTTATCTACGCAGTTGTCTCCATGCTTGGAAGCCAAAGGTCATTGCACAAGCATTGCACAAGCACTGACATCAAACATTTAATCCTAATTTACCACTTTCTGAGCTGAAAACTCTGCATCCCTGTTACAGAGTCTAACCAGCCCAGATAAATTGACAAACCAGCCCCAACCCTTCCTGCCAGCCGCCCCGGTCAGCACGGGCTTTGGCTGGGAATTGAACGCTGTGGCTTTGCCACCGCTGTCAGTAGCACCAAGTGTCCCTGCAGGCAGCTCGGCCGCCTGGGGGGGAGCGGGGCTGCGGCAGACAGGGCAGGGGGCAGGACTGGCTGTGGTCGGGGTGGAGGGGAAGGCAACGCGCTGGGCATTCCTCTTGCCTTTGCCCGCTTTCCTTTCACCCTCTTCCCTTTGCTTTTTTGCCCCATCCCGAGCTGCCGGAGGACCGTGGATATTTAGCACGCCTGGCGATACCTCTCGCGGGCAGGTGTGCAACGTCTCTCTGCGCATATTTATGCAGAAGCACGTTGCACTGACACCTGGGCGCTTGCAGACGCGTGCGGAGGTGCTCTCCCACACCTCTGCCCGTGGGCCTGAGCCCCCCAGGGCTCCTCCCTGAGCAATCCCCACGGCGAGCATCCCAACATGCTGCCAGTCCAGCCAAGAGCCACGGCTGCTCATCCCAGACAGGCGCCCGCACCGTGAGAGAGCCCTAGCCCCTCTGCCTGCTGCTGCCTTCACCACTGCCTCCTGCCCGCCCCCACGGGAGGAAAGAGCTCTCCCATCCCTCACTGCAGCTTCCTTCCCTTTGGAGCCCATTCAAAGCCAGCCTCGGTGGCACCTGCAAAACATTTTTGCTTGCAAGTCTCAGAGCAAACAGTTTGGAACTGATACAAATGGCTCCTCTGTCGCTGTGGTGACTCTTATTACCACGGGGTGGGTGATGGGGAGATTTTTCCCCTCTCGCCTGTAAGTTTCACACAAGCTGAAACCACAAGCTGGATGGGAAATTAGCCATCTCGGCATTTTTCCACCTTACTTTGCTTTTTCAGTGGATGTCATAACGTAACATATGGCATCGTACAGAGAAATAAAAAACAAAAACCTGGAGAAACAAACCCTGTCCTGCCTTCCCCTGCCCCAGATCTGTCAATGGGCTTACCCTTACCCCGAACTTTGTCTGCCAGAGCCAGGGCTGCTCTGGGGGTGCAGGACTGACTCAGGATAACCCATCCTGCTTGTACCGGCAATAAGCTGGAGTTTAGCGGGGCCAGCCTCATTCCTCACCCCCACCAGCTCCACTAGTATCACCCCTGAGATTTTTGAGCAGAGACTGGGGACAGGGTATCTGAGAGGGATCTCAGACCCTGACCATCCATCCAAGCCATGTCCTAAATCCCCCGGCGCTGGCTGCTGGACGACACAGCCCTTCTCTCAGACACAGCCTGGGAGGTGCCCTAGCCGTTCCCTGCAAGGACACATCTGTTTTGTGACTGCTGCCCTGCCTGGGGAGAAAGGGTATTAGAGGGAGAAACACTGATAATCTTATCGGTCGGCAGAAATGCTGATGGCTTAGTTTTCTAGCAGTCACCCTCTTCTCATGTGCCTGAGAAAAGACACCCAAAGAAACACCGCAGCCGTTACCTGCCGGTGACTTCAATGTTGGAGACGGCATAGAAGTACTTGTACAAGTTCTCCCTCTGCACGTAGGTGCCCCCCAGGGCCGGTCGCAGCAGTCTCATCCGCAGGTCGGTCACGGTGAAGAAGTCCTTCAGCCCTTTGGCGCTCTCCAGCCGGGTGTACAAGTTGTCCATGTTCTTGAGGTCAGGGCCAGCGAAGATGGCAAAGCGGTCCCTTACCTCGAACCGGACAGTCTTCTCTTTTTTGGAGCCCGCCCAGCGGGAATACTCCTCCGTGCAGAGGACCCTGTTGGCACTGGTGGTGGAGAGGTCCCGGACCCTCCGTGCTGGCATGCTGAAGGCCTCCATGCAGTCATCTGCATAATATTGGTATGGGTGCCAAGTCCTCCCGTTGTCCAGCGACTTCTCCAGCATCATGATGGTGGGTCGGCCGTACTCGAAGGTTATCACGATGTCATCTGTCAGCTCGATGCTCTTGTTCCAGGACAGCGTGATGTTGGCCAGCAGCGGCTCCGGGTACCGCCGCCACGTCACGCTCTGCCAGTACGTGGCCAGCCCTTCGTCCTCGCTGTCGAACATGAGTTTCGGCGGGTGGGCCAGGTCCGGGTTGGAGGCGTCACACTCATCGCTGCACAGGTACGGGTTCTCCTGGAACAACAACAACGGTCACGGGAGAAGAAGGCAATGCCTGGGCATCGCATGGGAATCATGGGGGCACACGGCTGAGCTCGCACCATTAGGGGGCCTGGTTTTAGCTGCCTGTGTCAAACTCTAACTGCTGGGCTGAACTGGAGTATGCAGGGGGTCTGGCTGTGGATGATGCTGTTTCTCAGCATGAGTTTAAGACAAGGAGACATGGCTTTGCCTTCGCTATAAGAACGGCTGAGCTGTTTCCTTTGAAAGGCCCTTCGGGAAAGGGCCTTTTGATTTGGCACAGGGGCAATTTTCATAGAAAGCGCTTTCCCTGAGATAGTGTCTGAGAAATTTTGCTTAAGCTTGGCTGAGTTACAAGCCTACGGAAAGCTGAGCTCACCCCTGCTCCATTGCAAGAACCGAACGGCTGAAATCCGCAAAGCACATCCATGCCTCCCATAGCTCCTGATGCCGAACAGGCTGGGGACACACTGTCCCCCCCAGTGCCTCTGAGCACAGCTAGAGGAGGGAAACCAAATTTCCCCAGCTCCGAGCTTGGACAAGACTAGGCAATAGCAGAGAGAGCAGAGATCTGTGCTCCTGGTGTCTCTGCTGTCCCCAGGACAGCACCCTAGCCCTGGAGACATGCAGAGTGGGGGGCGCCCTCTCAGCCCGATGTGTTGACCATTGCTGGTGGCTTCTCTGTTCAACCTAGGCAGAATAACCAGAGGCTGAGCTGACAGGGGATCAGGAAGGGAACAGGGGAGGCAGCTCTATGCCCACCCACCAGCACCAGAGGGGACCCAGGACTCCCACAGTTTGAACACTGTCCCCAGCCACTTGCTGCTTGTCCGGGTGCCCTTAGCCTGTGGCAAACAGAAGAGAACGTCAGTCAATGTCTGTCTTTGCAGGGACCAAGTTATGTAGCTGTGTCTGGCAGCCCTGCTGCCTGCAGTGGCAGGTGCTTCCCAAGCCATGCTGCCTTCCCCAGCTGCAGGTAGGAGGTGCAATGGTCCTCGCTCACCCACAGGGACCACAGTGGGGAGGATGGCTCATCCCATCCAGGCGACAATGTCTGCTGCTACGTTACTTGCTGCCTGCAGGCCTGGGCAACGGGAGAAAGGGCCCAGCCATCCCATTTTGCCCACAAGTGACAACGCGTGGCCACGCTTGCATGCTTTGCAGGGACACATGCGTGCATCTGTTTTTCATTAAGGACGTGTAGTCAAGTTCACGCGGCAAACGCTGAAGTTTTGGAGGCAAGCATCAGGGTTAGCTGTGCCAATGGGTTTATTGCTCATCCATAGGTGTGTTAAAGCCTGTCACTACTTGCCCTGCAGCCCTTGCCTCCAGGAGTGCATGGGTCAGACCTGCCTTAAGGATAACGTGGGGTTGTGTGACAGTGGGTACCGTCCACAGAAAAACTCTGCAACTCACTGCAAGTCTCTTTTGCATATGAAGTATCTCTCTGCTGTCATTCTACTTCCTTCTCAGACTCAAAATCCAGAGGATCGGGGAGGGAGAGGGATGGTACGACAGCGGGCTCTGCTGTGGTGGGACCCTTGTCAGGGAGGCAGAGCCACCTGGCAGAGAAGGAGGTGATAAAGCAGCTGGAGCCCCTCAGAGCTGATAGCTGGAGGCAAGGAGCCTGCTGGGGTGCAAGGTCTGGCCCTCCCGAGCACAGTACACTTGCAAGGTAAGACCGAGCCGGGATTTGTGGTTTGGTGCGTGGTTGGGAGCCTGTGGGAAGGTGCTGCATGCGGGGAGCAGCATGCCTGGCCCTGGGGACCTCCTGCTGTGCTGGGGTGCAGGGGGCTGCTGGGACCTGGGGGCTCACAAACAAACGAGGTGCAGGGCTGGGGTCTGTGCAGGCTGGTTGCGTCCCAGGGCTGGGAGAGCCTCGCTGCAAGGACGGGGAAGTGTGGGAAGAGGCTGCTCCTGTGCCCGTGGCGTTGGGGACTGATCCTGCCCCGTGGGCTTGCTTTGATCTGGCAAACGGTTAGAGTCTACGTGCTTGTGACCTGCTTTTAGGGTGTCCCATGTGTACCCTGGGCAGAGCAGAGGAGGGGATCTGGCTTGTACAAATGGGTGCTCTCGGGTGCAAAACAGGGCTGTGCTTTGAACATGGAAACTGCTGTGTAACATGAGGTGCTTTGGAAAATCTGGGCTTTGCCACCTCCAGCTGGGCAACCAAAAGTCTTGGGAACTACGTAGAGCTTCTCCACTCCATGTCTGTAAAATGGGCCTTCGGTGCCTCCCCACAGCTCAGAGACAGGCACTGAATGTGCGCAACTGTTTGCACAGTGAGTGGAGGCCACAGCACCGAGGAGCCTAGAAAAGCTCAGGAGGACATAAATAATTCTGTCTTCTGAGCAGCGTGTGAGTAGCTGTAAATAAGGCAGAAGGCTGCTCCGCCGGCAGCGGGGATAAAACAAAACAGCGAGCAGCTGATCTGTACGTGAGCACCAGGCTCCTTTGCAGGGGATGCAGCGGCAGCCTTGGGGAGAAAAGGGGACTCCTGTCAATAAAGCATGCGTTGTCGTGTGCGTGTGCACGAGGCTGCCAGGGAAAGCAGCAGAAGCCAGTTGACAAAACAGGGCAAAACTCATACTATTCTCAACGTTGTCTTGCCCTCAGAGACGCACCTGCCTGATGGCAAAGCCACAAGCGCTGTGCTGGGATTTGCTCCTCCTGTTACAGCCTTAACTCGAGCGACGTGTGGCTTTTGCCATGTCCGTGTGCGCCGGGAGGAAGGGTGGAAGCTGCTGAGCTCCGGTGCGGTGCCCATCCCCGGAGCAGGGAGGCTACTAAATGGATCCTTCGGTTGATGTTTTAAAAGAAAATGGCTGGAGAGTTTTTTATTATTTTTTACTTGCTTGCAGCTGCGCCAACTGAGCAAGGGAAATCAATGGAGTTAAGCACTCCTCAACCCAGCTTGCTCGGGTGGGTGAAGGCACCTGCTCAGGTGCACCCCACTCCCCTCCCAAAGAGGGGGAGATGCCCTGACCAAGGGGAGATGCCAGCTGGGGCATAGTGGGGCTCTGAGCTGCACTGGGGGTTCCCCTCCCGCTGTGACACACTGTTCTGGAGGAGGGATTAAAAAACCTGGAGATATTGACATATTTAATACGCTCTCCTGACTTGTCACGTTCAGAGGAACTGTTTACCTCTGCTAATGAGGCACAGCTTCCTGCTGGGGGCTGTAGCTGCCTCTTAGCACAGCTTTACAGCGGTGGCTCATGGAAAAGGAAGAAAAATCCCCCTCAGCTGAAGCGCTGGGGGCTCTGGGTACGTTTCCTGTGCTGAGGCAACATATTGTGTTGCAGTATGGTCCTACTGCCAATGTGGTCATACAGATGGCTTAATGAGATGGTCCTGAAAAGACCATCCTGGAGGTCTGTTTTCGCCTCTTGTCTGAAGGGGGGTAGTACAGCAGTGCAGCGTCTCGGTGGGCTCAGGTGGGGAATCGGCTCAAGGTGGTAGCACAAAACTCCTCGAGAAAACCCGCCTCGCTGCTCAGACCAGCTCTGTGTGAGCAGGAGGCTGCATGCATGCAGCCGTCCTTGCAAAAGCGTGCTTGCGTGTGGCAGCCATCGGGGCTGCCAAAGCCCTTCAGCTGGTGTAAGATGAATCTCCACTGAGTATTCGCTGCTTGAGCTGTCCCCAGTGTGGCCACAGGGGCCACCTTCACCATCAGGGCTATGGATTGTGCTTCTATCAAGGTTTTCTTTGGAGGCTTCCTTAAGCAGTGGCCAAATTACACAAGGGAAGGACTCTGTGACCAAACCACAATAAGCAAACATTACCCAGACCGGTAAAGGGTGGCCAGGGTGGGAGGTGGGGCAGGTTTCCCAGGAGCAGTGAAGGAAGCAACCGAGTCTGACAAGCGTGATCCCCTCCCAGTGTCCCGTCTGGAGGGAAAGGGCTGGCCAGGCACGTCCCTGGCAGGGGACCTGGCGGGTCAATAGCAGGGAGAAGTGGAGCCAAAACTCTGCCTGTCTCCCATATGCTTGTCCCAGAGATCAGGGAACGGTGGTGCACAATCCCTGATGGCTCCTGTACATCCCAACACGTGAACGTGCTCAGCGTAGCAGCCAGCAAGCCCAAAGATGTCTTTAACCACCCTGATGCTCTGCAGCAGCACACGGCTAGAGGGCTGCATGGCTGTAACAGGGCAAATGCAAAAATAACCTCTAAGTGACAGTGCTGAGAGGTGGGGGAGAGCCTCAAAAGCCACCAAGTGAGTCACGTCACTATGGCTTCCTCTGCTAAAATGAAGTGTTCCTTTTTGGTTTTAGGTTTATTGAACTGTCCTTCCTCTACGGGATGCACAACGCATTTGCTGCTGGTGGGGTGGTTGGAAGTCAGCCGGGAGGGCAGGGGGGAGCGGAAACAGATGGCCATACTTTGGCTGCTCCGTTAGTCCTGGTAAGATCAGTTATAGCACTGTTGAAACAATTCCAGGTATTATTTTTGAATCTGGTTTCCTCCTCCAAGCCGTGTGTCCTCCAAAGAATCTGTCCAAAGTCTCAAGATATTTACGTCTTCAATCTAAAAGTCAGAATGCATTAGCCAGGCAAACTTGGTCTCAGCGAGCTTAAAATAAACCAGTTCACTTTGAGTCTCACGCTATTAAATCAGTCATGAGTGTCCTCACGGCAACTAGATGTTGCAGGTTCCGGCTCTTCAGCATGCTCTTCTGGTTGCTTGTTTCTTGAGGGTGCACCAAAGAGCACCAACCTTGCTTAGCCCCAGCTCAGCCCAAAGGGGCAAATCCCAAGAGCCTCGTTGAGGACAAGTTGTCCTATTTGTCGTGAGGCAAATCGTAGAATGGTTTGGGTTGGAAGGGACATTTAAAGGCCATCTAGTCCAGCCCCCCTGCAATCAACAGGGACATCTTTAGCTAGATCAGGTTGCTCAGAGCCCCGTCCAACCTGACCTGAACCCTTTCCAGGGATGTGGCACCTACAACATCTCCAGGCAACCTGTTCCAGTGTTTCACCACACTCATCGTA